TACTCTATACGCAGTTTTAAGTTTCGTGGATTTTGCGCATTAATCTTCACACGACGACGAACATCTCTTTGGGAATCAGGGATTTTGTTTTCTTGTTCTTCCGCTGCGCATGTGATGTTGCCCCCAAGATTTCCCAACAGAAAGCACATTTTGTCTGGTTGAGTCGCATGTCGTATCTTCGCAACGTGGCAAACGTCTCGGCCAAATCTGCTTGGTGGGTAGCTGTCGTGCAGCTTTTCATGATCATGTCATCAACGTAGACCTCCATATTCCGTCTGATCTATCGGGCGAACATCTTGTTTACGGTTCTTTGATACGTTGCACCAGCATTCTTCAGCCCGAACGACATGACCCTGTAAAAGTATACCCCCTAGTTGGTGAGGAAGGCTGTGTGCTCTTGGTCCTCGAGTGTCATCCTGATCTGGTTATAGCTAGAGAAGACGTCCATAAATGAGAGGCGGGCATGCCCAGCGGTCGCATCGACCAACTGGTCGATCCTTGGGAGGGGGTAGCAGTCTTTCGGGCACGCACGATTGAGATCAGTGTAGTCAACGCACATCCTCCAGCTCCCATTAGATTTTTTCACGATGACTACATTGGACAGCCATCACGAGTATTTGACTTCCTCTATGAAGCCCGCTGCCAAAAGTCGCTCCACCTCCTCGCGGACAGCTAGTTGTCGGTCGAGGGCCTGTCGTCGAGGCCTCTGCCTCACCGGGCGAGCATCGGGCGAAATATTCATGTGATGCTGGGCAACCTTTAGGTCGATACCGGTCATGTCAGCCGACGACCAGGCAAAGATGTCGGCGTTCTCCTGCAGGAAGCCGATGAGCTGCTCCCTCTCTCATTGATGGAGCTCCGACCCGATCTTGATCGTCCGGTCTGGCCGTCCCTCCATTAAGGGTAGGCTATTGATGGTCTCCATTGGCTCGAGATGTTGGGTTGGTTTTTTTGTTTCCCGGGGATCCCCCAGCGGTTGTTCGGGGTTTGCCCTTTTGTGCAATGAGACCATCGTCAAGTAACACCATCTAGATTCGCGGGGGCTTCCCCAGACTTCCCCGACCCCAACGTGAGTCGGGAACTTCACCGTTTGGTGGTAAATGGAGACAACGGCCCTGATTTTGTTGAGGGTCAGACGACCAAGGATGGCATTGTATGCAGTGGGGAGGTCGACCACTAAGAAGGTGGAGATCACCATCTTCGATCTGGGCGGGACTCCCAAGGTTAGAGGCAAAGTGATCGCTCCCAACGGTGAAATCGAGTCGCCGGTGAATTCGGTGAGCGCCGAGCACATCGGCTCCAAGGTTTCTTTAGCTAGCCCAAGCTTCTGGAAAGCATCAAAATAGAGCACGTCGGTCGAGCTCCCTGTGTCGATCATGATCCTCCTCACATAAGCGTTGACGATCCTGGCCGCTATTACAAGCGCATCATCGTGCTCGGATCGCTCAACACCATCGTGAGGGAACGTGACCTCGGGCTCAAGGTTGCGTATGGGGGCATCGGCTTTGGCGGAGCGAGCGTATGCCTTCCGTCCAGACATGCTATTACCTCCGGACGCTGGGCTGCCCATAATCACGTTAATCTAGCGCTCAACAAGGCCCTCCGGGCGGGGCGAAAGCTCCTTGGCTTGTCGAAGGTACCGATCGAGGTGTCCTCCACGAATGAGTTCCTTGATCTGCTGTTTCAACTTGCGACACTCTTCGGTGTCATGTTCGTTTTGTCGATAGAAACGACAATACTTGGATCGGTCCGCGAGCTCCCACGGACTTCTCATCGGGTTGGGGGTTTTGAGCAACCCCTTCTCCCTTATTTGGAGGAATAACTATGTTCAGGACGCGCTCGAGACGGGAAGCGGGGTCCTCAACGCCAGCTGGTCAGGTCGGTCCACCTTGCACCTTGGCGCGGCAAATTGTTGCCCCCGGGGTGACTCTGGCCTGACCCTTTTGTGCTCCTCTCGCCTCCCGGCCATCCATGCCTCGACCACGATGTACTAGTTAGCCCGCTAGAGCATCTCCGGTACCGTGGTGGGGGGTCGCTCCACAAGGGACCAGAAGAATCTGGAAGGCCGTAGGCCTATCATAAACGCTTGCATTAACAGAGAGGGATGAGCGTCCGGCAACCCTTGGATTTCCATAGCAAAACAATTCACAAAGTGGGAGAGGGCTCGTCCTCCCTTTGGTTTAAGTCCGAGGAGTAGCGCGACAGACGGCTTTAGTCAGGCGTATGCCAAGAAGTTAAGCTCAAAGTCTTTGGCGAGCTGATCAAAGGAGGTGACTGCCCCGGCCTTCAGGCCGCTATACCATGCGCGGGCTGGGCCGCTCAGTGTCGTAGGAAATGCCCTGCACATCAAGGCGTCTGAAGTCCCATACAGCGTCATCTAGGCACGAAAGGCGGCTATATGATCTGTCGAGTCGGTGGTACCGTCATATGCATCGAGGGAGGGGAGACGAAAGTTCGGGGGGATTGGCTGGTCTTGTATCTCAAGCGTGAACGGAGACCCCCGATGCGGGTCCTCCCCAAGTTCTTCCTTGGACCTACCAACCTCCTTCTGCACTTCGTCGAGCCGCTGACTAACAAAGCATAATTGGGCTTGCAGGGAGTCCGTTGAATCCGATGATAATGCCTCGAGTTCCAGGCACCCGCTCGGGTTTGCCATCACCCGGTCCTCGAGTAGGGCTGATCGGACCCGAGGCGAAGTGGGGAGCTCCGGAGGTGGCATGTGAGCCCGAACGGGCGGCTCCTGTCGCCGCAGCGATTGGATCGCAGGTGGGTGTGTCGGACGAGAAACGAGTGGGATAATGGATTGCACCATACCCGTCAGAGCTCGGACTTGATGAGCGAGGTTCAAAAAGGCCTCGGATGACATGGGCGATAGGTCGACTGGGGCACCATCGGGTGGCGACAAGCCCGGGTTGTTGAATATCCGCCAATAGCGCTCTGAGGTCGTGGCAGGGTGTTCATCTCGAGGTTCTCCATGCAGGGGGTGTTCCCCCGGAGCCCGATCGGGTGTGACCCCTTAGCTGCAGGTTCGTCTGAGTCGATCTGTCGATCCCTCGACATTTAGACCCTCCTTCTAGCGTCAAAATATTGGTGTCAACAACTTTAAGCCGTGGCCTCGGGGCCAACACGGTTGGGTTCGGGTCTGAATGATTGGGGATCTTCCTGGGATGACCCTTGAGACTACTGAGGTGGCTGGTTGTGGTGGTCCAATCGCGACGGGACAGCCGTTTCCTCTGGGAGGGAACTCCTCGCCTGGGCACGCGGTGGGAGGGGCTCCGTCTTCGTCCCTGCACACAGGTCGAGTCGGGAGACTCGACCCAACCCCTGCGATGATCAAGTCAGTGGATAGTCTTAGGGGGTTTTTCTCACCTTCCTTTCCTCTCTTTCTGAGTGCGAGGGTTTTTATAGGGAAGGTTACCATTGCCTGATGTGCCCGCTTGCAAGGAGCAGGATCGTACTCCTGGTAACGTCACACCGGTGTTGGCGTGGCGTGAAGGACCGGGCTCGCACAGGATGTTAATGTGCCTTGGTCGACGTTCCGATCTATTTTGGCCAAGTGCTATCAGGTCAATCGAGGTGCAATGCGTCATCCGGGCGCAGCTGACGTTAACCCACGTCCCATCGCCATTATTGCCCTCATCAGACATTATATTCTCTGTTTGATCTTTGAGCACTGGAATGGCCATTCAGAACTTGCTCTTCAAATTCCCTCCTATGTGTTCAGTTCTGGAAGTCGATAAACAGTAAAAGAATTTAGATTCTGGCATTGCAGTTCAAACTTTTATCCTCTTTCTTTCTTTCAAATTATACTTTTGTTTTACGTTTTTTAATTTATTCCTGCATTTTTATTTTTATTTTTCATTCTGTGCGCACACACTGTTCACAAGTCTTTTTATGCCCAAAGACCGAGCTGTGAACTCGCAGGATTCCATCGGATGGATAGCAGGAATTGCCTTTTGTTCTTAGGCTGTGCTTAAGAACAGCCTAAGAATGTGGATTCCATTTAGAATCATCCTTGTCGAGGAGTCATCCTCTGGTTCGGATAAAGACACAACAAGACTCATCATCGTCTGTCTTTTAATCTAAATAATACTTGCATAATGAATCATCAACGTTGATGGATAGATAGTTTTCTTAGTAAGGAACGATCCCAATATTTAGTCATATACCGTCCGCTTATGACCTAAACTTCCCAACGTTGACTCACGTGATGTGTCAGTCATCCACATCATGATGCCGTGGGAATCACGTACACAAGAAGCCTGACATGTTACGTCTCAACATGTGGCATCATTTATGTGCCGATTGTTCCCCTAAACAATTGAAGATAGCTAAATTAGTTCTTTAAATCATTACATGTTGATCGATCGGATCTCATTTTATCATTGATCTTTTGTCGGAAGAAAATAACTAATTATATCAATATGACAACATAAATAATTATTTTATATTTTTTTCTTCTAATGTTCCTTGTTATTTTAATCATCTTATTTCTATTATATGAATAATGTTTTTATCGATCTTTCTATTCCATTAAATAATTGATCCAAGATATAATTAATAACCATCTTGTTGTATTTTTCTCCGGAGATTGCGATTGAATTGGCTTCTCTCATTTGTCTATTAAAACAACTTGTAGACTTCTCTAAAATTGGCCTTTTAACTTAGTGGCCAATCCCATCAACCCCAATAATATTACCCTTTTGTCTATAGGCACTAACTTGTTGACTTGTTCAAATTTTGACTTCTAACTACTGGTCAATCCCATCAACCCCAATAATATTGCCTTGATTGATATATCATTTTATGTACCCAATTAGCATGTCTTTAATCAATTATTTTTGAAATATAAAATATGACGACTAACTTAGCTTTTTAGGAAGAAAATAAATTCCCATCTTATCATTGAACTTATAACCCTAACATAGTTTTCAGCATGTTGATGATACCAAAATTTTCTTCTCAGCTGGCGGCGATTGAATTGGTTGCTCTCTCACTTGTTGTTTGTCACCACAACTTGTGGACCTATAAATCCGGGTCAATTTTCTTCCAAAAATGTCCATAGAATAAGAGAGCTACAGTTTGCCACCCAATTATTCCAATAGTATGGCCCACACATCAATCAGTATTCTGTGCATTAATCTGCATCGTATCCCACCCGAATGCTTCTAATTTATGTGTTGACCGACCCTGTGGTTTCTCGTAGCACGTCGGACATGGAGGCGATCACTGGGACGAGACGCAGCAGGGGGTACCACAGCCTGGAGATTGCCGGGGACGCGGAGACCAAGGGCGGCAGAAGAGCCTGGATGAGATGGGCGGCTCCAGCTGCCTGCGTGCTGTGTGTGCCTCTTCTGCTCCTCCTCGTCGGAGATCATTGGAGGCCGTCTTTCGATTGGTTTCAGGGTGCAACGCACCCGAAAGGTAATCCCCGTGCCCTTCGTGTTATCTACCGCATCAGTTCTTCGACAGAGTGATCCAAAGCAGATGCCCATAAACAAGTATTTAGAGGGATGAGGAGGTGATGCCTCTGTTGTGACTTCACCGAACCTCCGCTGCATCTTCTTCTTATATTCCTTGTAGGCTCGACGAGCGTTTCTTCCTCGGTCGTCCGGGAAGCATCGAAGGACAAGCTTCTTGGCGGTCTGTTGTCTGCTGAATTCGAGGATTGTTCCTGCTTCAGCCGATACAGGTCTGCAGCGTATCGTAAGGCGTCGCCTCACCTTCCTTCTCCGTATCTCGTCGAGAGGCTGCGCAGGTACGAAGCGCTCCACAGGAAATGTGGCCCAAACACCGAGCTCTACAAGAAATCTATCGAGCGATTGAAGTCGAAGCAGAGCAGCGCGGCCATGGAGTGCAATTACATAGTTTGGATCCCGCACTACGGCCTGGGAAACAGAGTCGTCAGTCTCGTCTCCTCGTTTCTGTACGCTATCCTCAACGACAGAGTCCTTCTCGTCCACGTCCCACACGAACTCACCGACCTCTTCTGCGAGCCATTTCCTGGGACTTCCTGGGTGCTTCCTTCGGATTTCCCCGTCCACAACTTCCAAAACTTCGACAAGGACACCCCGCAGAGCTTCGGCAACATGCTCCGGGACAAGGTCATCAGCATCGACATGCGCTCCTCCGCCAACGCTACGTTGCCGGCCTACGTCTACCTCCACCTGCCATGGTACTACAACGAGTGGGACAAGCTGTTCTTCTGCCAAGACGCGCAGCAGATGCTTCGGAAGGTCCCCTGGCTGCTGCTGAAGTCGGACCACTACTTCGTGCCGTCGCTGTTTCTCGTCGAGGAGTACGACGACGAGCTCCGGCGGCTGTTCCCGGAGAGGACGACCGTGTTCCACCACCTGGTGCGGTATCTTTTCCATCCGAGTAACACCGTGTGGGGGTACGTCACGAGGTACTACCACGCTTATCTGGCCAAGGCCGACAAAAGGGTGGGCATCCAGATCAGGAACCTCAAAAACGAGCCCGTTCCCTTCGAGACTTTGTTGGGTCAGATCGTGAACTGTTCCTCCAAAGAAGGAATACTGCCGAGCATCGACCTTAGGCATACGGCGAGGCCGGCTGAGGACGACGCTAAGGTGACGGCCGTCTTCACGACCAGTTTGGACTCCGGGTACTCCGACAGGATCAGGGACATGTACTACGAGCACGCGACCACCACCGGCGAGATCGTCGGGGTGTACCAAGCCAGCCACGAGGGGAAGCAGCAGACGGAGCATCAGAACCACAACGTCAAGGCACTGTCGGAGATCACTCTGCTCAGCTTCAGCGACGTTCTCATCACCACCGCCTGCTCCACCTTCGGGTACGTGGCTCAGGGGCTCGGTGGGCTGGAGCCGCTGATACTGACGAAGCCCTGGAAATCCAAACTGCCTTGCCGCTGGGCCGAGTCGCCGGAGCCATGCTTCCTGATACCTCCTCCCTCGGACGTGTGCCGAGACCATGGCGGAATCAACAAGAAGATGGCTCAGCATGTGAGGCAGTGCGAAGATGAGAATGGAGGCGTTAAGCTTTTTGATTAGACTGTCATAAAGAAACCATACTCTTTCAATCGCATCGATGTAAGACGATAACGCATCATTTCATATTATTATTGCCAAAGAAAATATAGTCTAATCAAAGAGTACCAACTCAAATGCATTCGCATTTTAAATATCAAGATGATGCCATAGTAATATAATTAATTTATTAATAAAATAAATTTGATTAGCTTAAATAAGTTGTAATATATTTGAATCTTACTCAATAAAAAAAATGAAATAAATACAAACAAATCAAATTATTCATGAAATATCTTGCTGCTACTCATCCTACATGAAAAGATTAATTGAAATTGAATTCTTAAATTGGAAGCCAACTTGCAGACTCTGCTGCTAAAAACAGCCAAGATGACAGTCCAAAACAGTGCTCTTCTAATCCTAGTCGACTGAAGGCTATTCAAAGTCAACCCACGGTTTCTGACTTGCAAAAGCGGATAACTTGCTGTTCTTGATTCCACAAGTGATTAATTATTTCCAATCCAAGACTAGAAGAGACCAAGCAATGAATCTATACGAGGCAATTCGCTGTTCTTTTATGATTCAACACGCCGCTTATGCATCATCTCGCTGGAGTTTCTGAACTGGTGTTCAAACTAGTAAGATGCTATAAACTCCTCCTCCTCCTAGTCAACTCAGATTGCTTAAGTCGACTTCTTCAACACCCCCTCCTGGTTTTATTAGTCGTCTATGTCAGCCGGAATGGATTATGACTTGAAGGAGATCAGTATCATTCGTTGCAGCACAAGACAAAGTGCATCTTAGCCATGGGACTGAACGCACGACCTCAGATTTTGACCGGCTAGATTATATAGAAACCTTGATGTCAGGGAATCAGCAAAATAATCGAGTAGCATGCATGTTTGAAGCTTCCATTTAGTCTCGATGCACTTCAAAAGAAAAAGTAGGGAGAAACCACACTGGCATCATCGCTTGGCAGCCCCTAATTACTTCTTTCTACATACGTCTGGATATGATCTTTGTACGTACGTCAAGCCATCCAGCTTCTTTCTTCAGCGCTTAATAGAACGAGGGTGAAGTGCAACAGAAGCTGCCGGATTTTGGAGATGGCTGGGGATTCGGAAGCCAAGCTCGAGAGGAACGGTTCCATGACGTTGATCCGGGAACGGGCGATCCCAGTCGCCTGCTTGCTCCGTGTGCCTCTTCTGGTGCTCCTTGCTGGATCATTCAGGAGGCCATCGTCGAAATGGATCCAGGAAGCTGCAGTAGGCGGAACAGGTAAATCCATGATGCCATCTTTGAGTTTTGTTTGTTTCACCAGCTCAGTTGCACTCGTTTGACATCTCAGATACAAGAATTCACACTACTTCCTCCTCCGTCGAGCCACCCAAGGTAACTTTGTTGGACGTTGACTGAGGCCTTAATTTATTTGGCCCGACTCCCTAAAATGCACCACCATGTTGCAATGATCGTATCAGCATTCTTTTGTTTTCTTACATGGTTATGTTTCTTGCACCGTTCTTTCTTCATGCATACGGGACCTGCAAGGCTGCGTATCTTGCAGAAGAGATTATGGAGTCGATTCCGATAAGCTGAATCCCTTGTTTATATGTATATATAATCTCGGTGAGACCTTTGTTAGTGGTTGCCCATGAACAATGACGATGGTGGAGGAGTGGGATACAAGTCATCGGAAGAATTTTCCCAGCCATGTCAAAGTCTCGATTCCTCACATTAATATTAGGGTTGACAAATATGTCACCTGATTTCGACTGTAGGGCAGTAAACGGATTGAGGATCCCACTCGGGTCATCGGATCAAAATTTCCGGTCCAATAAGATCGTGTACCGATCGTTGGATCAAAAGATGGATGTACGTTCGATCCGATGACGCGGCCCGGTTCGACTAAATGGGTCAAAATAGGACCATGGGTTTTAACCGTGTCCTTTTGATGCGCCTGCTCTCGACCTTGGAGAAACCATCCAAATCATTGCGACGATCACTCATTTCGCGAACTCTATATATAGAAGGGACGAATTCTAGGACGCTGCGGTGGTGATGGAGACGAAGCGCTTGAGGAGGCCGCAGCAACCGGCGCCCGCCCCCGATTCGGAGAGAGAGGGGCCTTTCTGGGCCGCCTCCGCGGCGGCGGGGAGGAAGCCGCCGCGCCTCATGCACCTGCACCCCTCGACCGCGCTCCTCCTGCTCGCCTCCCTTTTGCTCATCTGCATTGCCCTGTCCGGAGCCCACCGCAGCTTTCCGCTTGATCGCCTTCGCGCAAAAGGAGGTACGACTAACCTCCCCGCTCTTCTCCACTTGTATCACGATTGCTTGATCTCGTAGGTTCTTGCGATGCTTCAGATCTTGTTGGTATCCAATTTGACACTTTCTTAGGGTTAATTTCTCGCAAAGTTGAATTAGGTAGCATTTAAGGTGGCTGAATTCGTAGTTATAATTCATGAACTTATACAAGAATCAGATTAGGTTGTTGTTGCATCGACCAGTATCACATTCGACCATAAGTAAAACCAAGGAGACGCAAGGATTCATCTTGCATATATATATGCTTCAGTGTAGTATGGTGCGATATATCTAAATGCAGTATCTTTCAATCCTATTCCACAAGGTTTTATCTGCTAAGCTTGCTAATGATTTGTTGATAGCACATTGGCCATTTTGATGTTGTGACTTGCAGATTAGGCTGTCATTTGTTGGCAATATACCACATATTAGCTCCGAGTCTTTGTCATGACTTGTGTGCACTTTGATATGATGATGCCGAACTGCTTTATGTTTTACAAAATTAAGCCACCAAATTTGACGTAAATAAGGGTTTCAATTATGCTATTTTTATCCTATAAAGTCACCTTATAAATTTAGTTGACCTTTTCTTTGCAGTCGAATTTCCGACACACAGCTCTTAATTTTTAATTTTTTTTCAAGTAATTTATCTACCAGGGGTACACAACTCTGAAACTTGGCTCTTTCATCTTTCATGGATCGATGGACATTCTTCGATGCGTATATGAGAGTTTTCCAGAGTGCATATATACTTGTTTGCGAATCTTTATAAAAGCATATTGGGTCCTCTGTTTAGCAATAAAGCCATATGTCTATTCTACCATAGATTGACATCATACAATGTTACCCACAACATGATATTTGCTTTCTCAGGTTACTGTTCATTTGTAATTTTCTTGTTGCAAAGTTCATAGGACTTGACATGTTTTTCTAGGTCTAGAGAATGGTACATTTCCATCCCTTGGTGGTCCAAAGGATAGATTTCTTCATGGCTTGCTTGCTGCTGGGTTTGATGAGCAATCCTGCCTAAGCAGGTACCAATCTGTGTTATACCGGAAAGAATCACCTCATGTACCATCTTCTTACTTGGTGGAGAAACTGAGAAACTATGAAGCTCTCCACAAGAAATGTGGTCCGAACACTGAATTGTACAAGAAAGCAGTTGAGCAGTTGAAATCTGATCATGGCACCCAATCAACAGAGTGCAACTATGTGATATGGATATCATACAGTGGCTTAGGCAACAAGATGTTGTCTATTGCTTCAGCATTTCTATATGCTCTCCTAACAAACAGGGTCTTGTTTATCGACCGAGGTTTCGACATGGCTGATCTTTTTTGTGAGCCATTTCCTGAAAGCTCATGGCTTCTACCTCTGGATTTCCCTATCAATGAGTTCGATGCCTTTGACATGAAGACACCCAAGAGTTATGGGAACATGTTAAAAGACAAGGTTATCGGTAACGGTGATGATGGTACTTCAACGCACTCCCTGCCTGATTACATTTATCTCCATTTATCTCATGATTATGGTGATTATGATAAGCTTTTCTTCTGCGAAGATGATCAGAGGTTTCTTAGATTTGTCCCTTGGCTGTTGTTGAGATCGAACAACTACTTTGTGCCATCCCTCTTTATGATCCCAACATATGAAGAAGAACTAAAACATCTCTTCCCAGAGAAAGACACAGTCTTCCATCATTTGGGACGTTATCTTTTCCACCCTACCAATTCAGTGTGGGGTTTGATCACCAGATATCATCAATCTTATCTTGCCAAGGCAGATGAAAGAGTGGGCATACAGGTGAGAACCTTTGAAACCGATGCTGGTCCATTTCAGTATGTGTTAGACCAAATTCTTGCATGCACTCAGAAGGCAAAGCTTCTTCCCGACGCCAGTGGCCAAGACACTGTGGTTTCGACCCCAAAAACCAAATCAAAAGCTGTGCTTATGACTTCTTTGAACTCTGGATACTCTGAAAACATCAGGAACATGTACTGGGAGCACCCTACAGTCACCGGTGAAATCATTAGTGTCTATCAACCGAGCCATGAAGGATACCAGCAGACAGAGAAGCAAATGCACGACATGAAAGCATTAGCAGAGATCTATCTCTTGAGCTTGACAGATGCGTTGGTGACAAGCGCATGGTCTACGTTCGGGTATGTGGCTCAAGGTCTTGGTGGTTTACGACCATGGATCCTCTTCAAGCCCGAAAACCATACGGCTCCTGACCCTCCTTGCCGTCAAGCCATGTCAATCGAACCTTGTTTTCATGCCCCTCCCTTCTATGACTGCAAGGCCAAGGCAGGTGCTGATACAGGGGCTCTGGTCCCTTATGTCAGGCATTGCGAAGACATGAGTTGGGGGCTTAAGGTAGTCGATCAGAATGAGTGGTAGCTCTTGACCTTCGGATGCAACATTCATATTTGTACACTCGAACATTTCCTTTCTCTTTCTTTACAGAGACCCTATTCATGCATAATTTAGGTGTGTTTCTTGAAAGATTAACGATGTTGAAGAGGATCGATCTCGGTGACACTGTAAAACTATTCATTTATGATTCTAGCGATCAGGATTTGAGGAGGGCGTGTTGTCCGGGGGCGGGAAATTGAGCTTGGCGCGCGCCCCTCGGAACTCGACGGCGGCGCGGTCGTACGCCCGCGCGGCGTCCTCCGCAGTGTCGAACGTGCCCAGCCACTTGCGCGCCGCCCGCTTCGGGTCGCGTATCTCCGCCGCCCACTTCCCCCACGGCCGCTGCCGCACGCCCCGGTACCTGCTGCCCTTCTTCCCCTTCCTCCTCGATCCCCCGGAGCCGCTGCTGTCGGACGGCACGACGGCTACCTCGTCGTCCGCGAAGGAGAAGAGCTCGCAACCGAGGCACCCTTCGATGCCGCACGTACGGCAGGTGTCAGCGAGCGGGAGCTCGGCGGGGGCAGTGGCGTAGCCGGAGTGGACGTGAGCGAGCGCGGAGACGATGATGGAGGTCTCCTGCTCGCGTGACAGGCGTGAGGATGACGGCTGCCAATCGCAGCAGCCCGACATAGCCCTTTGCTGCTACTGCTGCTGTTCTTTGCTGAATTGACGTGGGTTGACTGATAATAGGTGGTGGTGGAAGGACGACTCTCTCTTCTGGTTTGATCTGCATGCTACGGCGGGAAGTGGAGTCGAGGTTTTAAGGGAGGGAGGAGAGGCGTGACATGGTTTGACACATCGAAGACTCACGCGGACATGGACTGCGCTTTTGGCGACTGCATCCGCTGTTGGCGAAGAGTAGGGACGAAGCGGATTCAGGGAAGGGATTAAATAAATCGTGGAGAATGTGAATTGAGAGAAAGTGAAAGCTGCGGAAGTCATGGATATCATCGATGCCGTCTTGGCAATGAAGGGAAGCGACGGGAAAGAGAGGTTTGCAAGCCCTCAACACGGTTGACTACTGGTGGCAGGCGAAGAGAATAATACCGACAGGATGTCAAACTGGCTTTCTCAGATCATATAGAGTTACAACTGGACCGGAGATGACAGGTAGTGCGAAATAGAATTATGGATTACATGACTGACTAAATAAAAATATTTATTTATGTATACTCAATTTGATATTAACGTTTTATATAATCCATAATTTACCGACAACACCCGAAATATGGAAGCATTTGCATGTTTTGACAGCAAGTCTGACTTCAAACGTAGAGAAGAGGAGGACGGAAGCATTGGATAAGAAATCCATTCATCGTCTCCCACACGGTGTAGTCTTGTCGGTGTGCGTGGTGGCAATGTAGAAATCGTGAGGAATGAGTTTCTCCTGGACTTGGTTGAGAGAACGAAAGCGTACGAAGAAAGAGAAAGGCTTTTTATCCTTTGATTCATCGAAAAATATATATTTATATTTATATTAATCAAACGATAAAATATATTTTTAAAATAAAATTAATTATAGCTCAATAAACCTCCTCATATTTGTCCGTACACTAAAAAAAACCAACTACTCATCTATTTATTACATCTAATCATAACTACTTAAATTAATTTTATCATATTTTTAATTCAAAATAATTATTACTTGAAGTTTTTTCTTTAAAAATATTTTTTTACTAAAATTTTTATGAAGATATTAGTAAGTTGATCTTCGTTGTTGTTATAGTAGTTTATTTGAATTTCTCTTTTATCAAATAGTTCACAAATGAGGTGGTGATGACAAACTTCAATGCATTTGTGTGCCCGTGGAACATACAATTCTGTCATTGCAATAATAGACTTGTTGGATTTTTGTTAGTTCATCTTGCTATTATTGAAGATTTACTGGAATTCTTTGAAGTCAAATTGCTTAACATGTTATACTTGTAGCCGTAACATATTCTGCCTCGGAGCTTGAGAAAATAATATATTCTTATTTTTTTATTATCTATGAAATCACCCCTAAGCTCAATCACTATCAATATAAGAATACAACTTAAAATTTTTTACTTGCTCATAACATATGTCATAATTGAGAGTTCCTTTAATGTATATAAGAACTCTTTTAACTACTCTAGTGATATTTGCTAAGGCGAATCTTGACAAACTAACTACAAAAATAACATTTGACCTTGAATGTTGAGATAAATTAACCTTCTAAATAAATTTTTATATTGTTTCTCATTTATTTTTTCAACTTTATCATTTAGCATATGTTTATCATTTGTATTTATTGGAATATTCACTAGCTTACAAACTACTATTTGAAGTCTTTTTAATAAATATTTAACATGTTTGCCTTGGCATAAAAAAATTTTATTTGAATCTTGAATAATTTTTATTCCTATAAAATAATATAAAAGCTTTAGATTGATCATGACATCATATTTTTCTTAAATTCAGCAACCATATCTGATGAATTTTTAGTATAAATAATATCGTCTATATACAAACAGATAATAAAAATTTTCATACCTTGGGTTTTTATATAGAAAGTCAACTTACTTAAACTTTTTTTAAAAAATTATGTTAAAGAAGCTACTTTTAATTCTATTGTCTCATATTGTTTCAAATTATATAATATTTTATCCAATTTGTATTCTTTATCTTCTTGTCCTTTAATTTTAAATTCTTCCATCTACTTTACATAAACCTTCTCTTGCAACTTTCCATTTAAGAAGGTTGATTTAACATTAAATCGATGAAATTATCATTTTTTTGTATGCTAATACTTTTCTAATCATATCAATTTTAGTAACCAGAGAAAAAGATTCTGAAAAGTCAATATTTGAAATTTGAGTATATCCTTTAGCAACTAAATGGGTTTTATATTTTCACAACAAGTCATCAACATTAAATTTTGACATATATATATATATATATATATATATATATATATATATATATATATATATATATATATATATATATATATATATATATATATATATATATATATATATATATATATATTTTTTTTTTTTCTAGGAAAATAT